TGTGTAAGGGTAAAAATGCATATCATGTGGGAAATAGCACGCTCCAAACTCCATATTTCTTTTGTAATGTGGGAGGGATATTTTCAGGGTAGAATCAAATGGCTGAGGTGAGGGCTGCTTAAACAGTCCCCTGCTGCTCAGATTTCCCCTGCAAAATTAGTGGGAAATGGCCTCAGGGAAGACGTGTTGGCAGGGGCGCCAGAGGAGCAGTCGTGAACCCAGAGACCTGACTCTGTGCTGTCACGGGAGCTTGCTAGAAAAGGGAGTCGCTAGATGGCTCTGTAGAATTTCAATGCTATCACTGTATGTAGAGTATAATGCTAAATATTAATAAGCAGGAGGAAAGGTGACACTAGGAACCTGCAGGACAGTTGGAACTCTGGCCTGGTTGCTCAGTCGGAGCCACTTGTCGTTCAGGCACATCATGCCGTCTTGCACTCAGATTTGCCTGCCCATGGCCCACTCACTTCCTGGCTCAAAGTTCTGCTCAGTTACTATTGACTTGCCTCTAGACCACCAGTTAATTGCCATCGTTAATTTTTGTTCACAGTTTCTAAATCTACTAAACATGACAATACTTATTATAAACCTGGTAGGTTTCTTGATAAACTGTTTTTCTGATTCCTTTTCCAGCCTAGAGTCACTGATCTGTGGCTTTACTTTGCTGAAGCAAACTTTTTGGGAATTATTGTTTTATTTCCTGCTTTTGCCCCACACTTTGCAATGAACAGCGTTCATGACTACAAGGTAAAATACCTAAGTACAGATATTACTGGGCAATGTGCATGAAATATTTATTTGCAATGGCCATCATTGTGATTTTAATTGAGAAAGGGTTGTCAACATCATTCGAAAGTTTACCTAACCTGTGTTTACAGCAGCAGTCCTAGCATCAGCTGCAACTTTGATGAAGGTTTGCAGAAAAATCCCTGTTCTCTGTATATAGTCCCATTGTGCAGATTTTTTGATCTGCACTCTAAGGCCATTGTCCAGAACTAAATATAATAAGCAGGGAAGGGACTCGGGTGGGCATCTCATTTTCCCCTCCCCCACTGTTTATTCTTTCCCTTCAATGAAAGCCCTTATGTATTATCCCTTTTTCCTGCTTCATTCTCCTTCCAACCCACCAGCCAACCTACCTCTATCTGTCCCCCAGTCTTCAGCTTTTCTTCCTTCCCTCCCTCTTGCAGCTTCTACCTGGAAAAACTATGGCCCAGGTGCATGGTGCTGGCTGCTGGGCCAGGCCCAGGTGTGCATTGCTAGCTGCCAGGCCAGGTCAGCAGTGCTGGCCACTGGGCCAGGTACATGGTGCCAGCCCCCATACCCAGGTGCACAGTTCCAGTTGCCAGACTGGGCCCAGGTGTGAAGTCCCAGCTGATGGGCCATGTCCAGGTATGTGCTGCTGGCTGCTAGGCCAGTCCCAGGAGTGCAGTGGAGAACCCACGAGGCCTTCTGGGGTACTTTGTATTCCCCTGTATCCCCTCCTGGAAACCCCCATAGTCCCACCACCCCCTACTTCCTTCTCTCCTTGCCACCACCTGCCAGGCAACCTTTTATCTGCCCCCCCCCATCTTCAGCTGTATTTATTATATATTCATTTCATTTATACTCTGCTTTTCTCCACAATGGGGACCCAAAGCAGTCCACATCATTCTCCTCTCCTCCATTTTATCTTCACAACAACTCCATTAGGTAGTTCTGGCTGAGAGTGTGTGGTTGGCCCAAGATTACCCAGCAAACTTCCACGGTAGAATGGGGATTCAGACTGAGATCTCCTAGATCCTAGTCTAAACATTACATCACACTTGCTGTGATAGCTCAGGGAGGTTCTTAAAACCCTTTCCTTTCCTTTCTCTCCTCAAAGCTCAATGAGACAATTCTTTTAAACGACAGAAATAGCTATGACTTGAAGCATTAAAGGGCTGTAAAAAACTGGTAACGGCTAAAGTAATTTTACTGTCCTTATCACAAAATAACAAAATACAAAACATCTGAAAGTTCAGAACGGCAAGCTAGAAGAGGAGTAGTAAAAGATGCTCTAAGATCCTCCAAGATTAGACACTCAAAACGAATATAAAAGGAGGTGTCGATTCTTTCAAAGGGCAAGGACAAAGATGGTCAGAATATAGAATATTAAAAAATCTACCCTGGTGCTCCTGGGAAGGATTAGCATTAAACCTAGTCAGACAAAAAGCCCTCACATAGCAAGGGATAGTTAAATATGCATATGACAGAAGAGTTTTTAGAGGGAGAATACCAAAATATTGAGAGGAGAAGACCTGATGTGCCCTGAACATAGTACTCAAATATAACCAAGATTCATAATGAGCTTCTTAATTAAGGCAAGAATCTTGTGTATGCCATAGTTTTGCATCAGATCAGGTGTTATGCCAAAGACCAGCAACATTTCATCAAGAAGCTTCATCCAGAGGATCTAAAGGAGTCCAGTCCCATTATACCAGTTTTCACTGAAAACCTGATAGAGTGTTAGATTGGATGCAGAAAGCCAGGCTCTGGCTTCTAATGTTTTCTAGCCAAATTCCACTCAGAGGGAAATGCCTGAAATGCAATAGGGGGTGTTCACCAGCTGCTGAAGAAACTGGGTGAGAGGTCAGTCCAGGGTCTCACTAGCAGAGTTCATTCAAATAGGGGCACTACATAAAATAAGGGGAAAACACCAGCGCATTCCCCCAGAAAAAAGCCCCAGGGATGTCACAGAAGTTTGAACATAATAGACTTACAATAAGACTATTCCTGGTTTGCAATAGCCCAGTGTGCTCTGAAATTATTACTCTGAAGTTAAAATCAATATAAAATCATTAGTCTCACCAGTTGAAGGGAAAAAAATGTACCATGTTTCTTTATCAATGCACTATCTTCTCTTCTTAGCTCCTCAGGTACATGATATTATGAGAATGCATATTAATAGAAAAAGCAGGCCAAAGTAGACTTCTCAAAGAAAAATTATTTTTTAAGCATTCACAAGTGATGCTCACATTTGGCAGCCCAAGGGTGATTGAAGCTGGGGGGTGGGGGTTATTTGGCTATCCCTAATTATATGGCTTCCTTGAGATGCTCAGTTGTGGGATGGATGCTTGAAATGCCTTTCCATATATCCTTCCTTTTCAAACGGCACAGTAATTTAAAGAGCTGGTTATTTTTAATGTGGTTTTTATACACATTGGTGTTTTAACAACACAATAATAGAATTTGATTCCTAATGCTTTGAACTTTAAAGCAAGTATATTTTATGACTAATTACCGCTGTTCCACAGCTGTTCTCTAATATGCTTTTCAAATTCTTATTAGCTGACATTTAGATAAAGGCAGCCATTTAAGAGCCAGGCAAAAGGAACACATAGCTTGAGTCTCATGACGATTTGCATCTATGCCTAAATCTGTGTGTCTAAATCTGTGTCAGGAGGATTGTATAAATCTATTTACTTCATTTACTTCATTTACTGCCTTTCTCACTGAGACTCAAGGCAAATTACAGAAGTTCACGTGTTCATGGATTCTTCATCACTAAAATATGAGTGGTGAATTTCTATTTTCCTTACCCAATGTCTCTTTCCTTCAGAAATACAGGTTCACTCTTATGTGTCATATGGAAGTAAACAACTGCTTTCCAGTGCTTGTCAACATCATCAGCAATGCACTTTTGCAAATGTTTAATTCTACTTCCCATATTCGAATCTGGAATCATGTATTTTATTATGTAAGTATTTCAACTGGACCTCAAGATGTGTCACTTGTGTCTGTGTGTTTTCTGGGTGGGGGACATTTTTAGGATTAAAATACAATCGTAGATGTACATTACAATGTGGAGTAATCCACTGTTTTAACAATGCCAGAATTGTTATATGTACTGCTTCAAAGGATTCTGGATCAATTATTCTGATTAGACATTCCATTGTTTTCTGAGGAAACAGTACATGAGCTTGCATTGTTCACTCTCTTAGGAACCCCAGTAGTGATTGGTGTAGCTGTAATAAATGTCCATATTATGGTCCTCCTCCTTTCTGTCAGAAGTCCTTCTCTTTCACTTCCTGTAAGCCTCATGCCCTATTATGGAGGAGAAGGGTTGTGTGCCTTCTGCTAAGCATTACCACCATCCTTTTTTTTTCACCCCATGTGGCAAACAACCTACAGGTGGTACAGTTTTGATCAGAAAACTGGCATGAAGGGACAGTTAAGAATTTCCTTCCTCCTGCCATGCTCCAAAAATATCCCTGGTATTGGAATAAAGAAGTTAGGAGATGTGATCATGGACCTCCTGAATAATAGGCATTTTGGCCCTAATTAACAATGGAGTCCTAAGCAGAGTTACATTCTTCTATACCCACTGACTTCAGTGAATTTAGAAGGGTGTGACTGTGCTTGTTCTACAACCTAGCAGTTCGAAAGCAAGAAATTGCAAGTAGATAAATAGTTACCACTTCGGTGGGAAGGTAACAGCGTTCCGTGAGCCTTGGTGTTTAGTCATGCCGGCCACATGACCACGGAAACATCTTCAGACAGCGCTGGCTCTTCGGCTTTGAAACGGAGATGAGCACCGCAACCCTAGAGTTGGACTCGACTGGCTTTCGAGCAAGGGAATCTTTACCTTTAACTGTGCTTGAGATTGCACTGTTCATTCTTTAGGGTAAAGGTAAAGGTTTCCCTTGCTTGAAAACCAGTCGAATCCGACTCTAGGGATGCGGTGCTCATCTCTGTTTCCAAGCCAAAGAGCCAGCAGTGTGCAAAGACATTTCCATGGTCATGTGGCCTGCATGACTAGATGCTGAGACGCACAGAACGCTGTTACCTTCCCACCGTAGCGGTACCTATTTATCTACTTGCAATTTTTTGCTTTCGAACTGCTAGGTTGGCAGGAACTGGGGCCAGAGACGGGAGCTCACTCCGTCATGTGGCACTCGGGTCTCAAACTGCTGAACTACCGACCTGGTCTGCAGTTCAGCATCTTAACCACTTGAGCCACCGCAGCCCCTGTACATTCTTCAAAAAACCACTATTGTGGCACCTTAAGGAGGTACTCACAACCTGCTACTAGCTGGAGCATTGGTGACACTCAGTGGGGAGAGGTCTTAGAAGAATCCAGCTTCACTATATAAACGAATCCTGAATAATTATAGCCAAATACATATTTTTTTGCATTCAGTACTTTTGTATGTGTAAGGGTAAAAATGCATATCATGTGGGAAATAGCACGCTCCAAACTCCATATTTCTTTTGTAATGTGGGAGGGATATTTTCAGGGTAGAATCAAATGGCTGAGGTGAGGGCTGCTTAAACAGTCCCCTGCTGCTCAGATTTCCCCTGCAAAATTAGTGGGAAATGGCCTCAGGGAAGACGTGTTGGCAGGGGCGCCAGAGGAGCAGTCGTGAACCCAGAGACCTCACTCTGTGCTTTCATGGGAGCTTGCTAGAAAAGGGAGTCGCTAGATGGCTCTGTAGAATTTCAATGCTATCACTGTATGTAGAGTATAATGCTAAATATTAATAAGCAGGAGGAAAGGTGACACTAGGAACCTGCAGGACAGTTGGAACTCTGGCCTGGTTGCTCAGTCGGAGCCACTTGTCGTTCAGGCACATCATGCCGTCTTGCACTCAGATTTGCCTGCCCATGGCCCACTCACTTCCTGGCTCAAAGTTCTGCTCAGTTACTATTGACTTGCCTCTAGACCACCAGTTAATTGCCATCGTTAATTTTTGTTCACAGTTTCTAAATCTACTAAACATGACAATACTTATTATAAACCTGGTAGGTTTCTTGATAAACTGTTTTTCTGATTCCTTTTCCAGCCTAGAGTCACTGATCTGTGGCTTTACTTTGCTGAAGCAAACTTTTTGGGAATTATTGTTTTATTTCCTGCTTTTGCCCCACACTTTGCAATGAACAGCGTTCATGACTACAAGGTAAAATACCTAAGTACAGATATTACTGGGCAATGTGCATGAAATATTTATTTGCAATGGCCATCGTTGTGATTTTAATTGAGAAAGGGTTGTCAACATCATATGAAAGTTTACCTAAGCTTTGTTTACAGCAGCAGTCCTAGCATCAGCTGCAACTTTGATGAAGGTTTGCAGAAAAATCCCTGTTCTCTGTATATAGTCCCATTGTGCAGATTTTTTGATCTGCACTCTAAGGCCATTGTCCAGAACTAAATGTAACAAGCAGGGAAGGAACTTGGGTGGGCATCTCATTTTCCCCTCCCCCACTGTTTATTCTTTCCCTTCAATGAAAGCCCTTATGTATTATCCCTTTTTCCTGCTTCATTCTCCTTCCAACCCACCAGCCAACCTACCTCTATCTGTCCCCCAGTCTTCAGCTTTTCTTCCTTCCCTCCCTCTTGCAGCTTCTACCTGGAAAAACTATGGCCCAGGTGCATGGTGCTGGCTGCTGGGCCAGACCCAGGTGTGAAGTTTCATCCAGAGGATCTAAAGGAGTCTAGTCCCATTATACCATTTTTCATTGAAAACCTGCTAGAGTGTTAGATTGGATGCAGAAAGCCAGGCTCTGGCTTCTAATGTTTTCTAGCCAAATTCCACTCAGAGGGAAATGCCTGAAATGCAATAGGGGGTGTTCACCAGCTGCTGAAGAAACTGGGTGAGAGGTCAGTCCAGGGTCTCACTAGCAGAGTTCATTCAAATAGGGGCACTACATAAAATAAGGGGAAAACCACTACATAAAATAAGGGAAAAACCAGGAATAAAAGAAATTTAGAATAAAAGAAATTTCAAAGTGCTCCTGCACTTAATCTGACCATATTGTATGTCAACTTTTGGTGAGGAGTCCAAGATAAATGAGATATAAACAAGGTACACAAATATCTAATATCTGTTCTTGCCAGTTCAAATATATAAATTTCTTGCCCTGTATAGAGGTTGTTATACCAGCTGGGAACAGTGACCACAACACTATTAAGTTCGGCATTCAGGTCAAAGGAAAGTTACCCCTAAAGTCTAAAACTGTAACATTTAATTTCAAAAGAAGGAACTTTGAAAAAATGAGGGAAATAGTAAAAAGGAAGCTGAAGGGGAAACACAAGACAGTAAAATATCTTGAGGATGCTTGGAAGCTATTTAAAAACACACCAACTGAAGCCCAAATAGAATGCATTCCACAGGAGAGGAAAGGCACTGCCAAGCCTAAAAAAGGGCTTGCATGGTTAACAGTACAAGTGCTAGCCAGACTCACTCTTAATTTAAACCAACAGACCTCCTCCAAAACTTTGGCTAAATTTAAAATGATTTGGAGGTGACATAATTACATTTTTGACACACTGGTTTTTTAGGGTAAAACTCTATGTTGAGGAACATCTTACCATAGCATGATGTCACTTCCGTATGATGACAACACATCATGGCACTCTGCCCCCACTCCTGGAAAGTCCCTCCCCTGCCAGCATGATAATCAGACCTGGCAACTTTAGTTAAGAGGCATCCTTGCCTCAATCCTTTAATCTAATTTAATCAGTCCTTTTTTTGTTTCAATTTACTTTTTGGTAGCAAGCAGCCAGTCCTGGGTAAGTTATCAAGTTGTTGGTGGGTCTGGCCTGAGTGAGCCCTCCCCCAAAGGCCAAAACAACCCCAGAAACCAAGGCTTGAAGGCTAGCAATACTGTTGTGGTTGTCCAGCAACAGCCACTGAGGGCATCTATTTCTTAGACCTAAAGGTGTGATTCTGTTAATTGGGGAGGGTTAAGCATCCCAATGTATTTTTATTGTTTCCAGATTTTTCCCCCCAGATTTTCCTACTAACCTGGGGTGTTTTCCAGGTTTGTAAAAAGATCTGTCTTTTCTGTTCACAGCTCCACTCTCTGGATTTAAGTAGCTTCAGATCTGGCCATGTTGAGAATTCAATATATTAACAAACACAAGAACTGCAAGGACTAGGGTTGCCAGGTCCCTTTGTCTTGACAGTGGGGGGATCTGGGAGGCCTTCTGGGAGTGGGCGGGGACATCCCCAATGCACTTATGTCACCCAGAAGTGACATCATTGCATCGTTGACGTCAGGGCGATGCTCTGGTTTTTGGGCAAAACTGTGGTATAATCAGGATCGAACCATAAAGTTTTGCCCCAAAACCAGAGTGTCACTACTTGATGTCCCTGGCACGATGACATCACTTCCATGTAATGTTTGTGCGTCAGGGATGTTGTGCGGCAACATTGCTATTTGGGCCCAGAGCTGGGGAATGACAACCCTAGCAAAGACTTCCAAGGGGAATCTCATTTCGCCCTCCCCCATTATTTCTTCTTTCGTTTCCCTGAAAGCCCCCATAGCCTCTTCCCTTTTCCTGCTTCCTTCTCTCTTTCCCAACTTACCTTTATCTGCCACTGTGTTTTCAGCTTTCTCTCCCCTGGCAGATGCAACTTGGGAATACTATGGCCCAGTTGTGCTGTGCTGGCTGCCAGGCCCAATTGCCTAGTGGGGAATCTGCAAGGACTTGTAGCAGGCATCTCACTTTCCCCTGTATCCACCTCTCTGGCTTCTGGAGGTTCTAAACTGCGCTTGTTCTGCTACTGAGAAAAGTGAAAATGAAAGCAAAATGTGCTTGCTCTGCTACTGAGAAAAGTGAAAATGAAAGCAAAAGATCCCTGTATGAATATTTAGAAGGTCTACAACAGTAAGAAAAATAGATCTGGGAAGTTATTGTGCATTTGATAGAACTAGATACTAGTGTTTTGTTTAACTCTTGCAACTTGACTCATATTTAAACAAATAAAGTTTTTTTTATTGAAGATTATAACAAATATTTTGTAATTACTTTTTCTAGTTAAAAATTCACTCCCAGCTACGAGTCTCAGGACTCTTTCCTTCAGCATATTGGTGCGGACAAGCTTTAGTGGACATTCCGCTGCATTGGATTATACTCTTTTTAATGTTTGGAACACAGTGGCTTCATCTTGTAATCAGTGATAGCATATATAAGAAAACCATTATTTTTTGCTTTGTAAGTTTGATTATTTACATCATTTTAAAAAGTGATCATGACAGTATTTTTAAACACTTAATTTTGAATTAAAATTATCAACTGGAGCTACTTAGAATCATATGGTGATTTAGTTGTTGACTAATGAATGCAAGTTGGCCAGTGCTTCATTAATATATACTTCACAGCTAATTGTACAACCAAACTGTTTACTGTTATGGTTACTACCAAGTTCTAGAAAACTCAAGTAATCTTGTGTAGAATTTTGAATTCCAGCTTCATGGAATGGGCTATGGGATTTAGAATGTCTCCCATGAAAATTTTCAGCAGGTTCTATCTGGATCCAATATGTTTCAATCCTATTTATCTACTTGCAATTTCTTGCTTTCGAACTGCTAGGTTGGCAGGACATTAATATATACTTCACAGCTAATTGTACAACCAAACTGTTTACTGTTATGGTTACTACCAAGTTCTAGAAAAATCAAGAAATCTTGTGTAGAATTTTGAATTCCAGCTTCATGGAATGGGCTATGGGATTTAGAATGTCTCCCATGAAAATTTTCAGCAGGTTCTATCTGGATCCAATATGTTTCAATCCGTGCCCTGAGGATTCATCTAGTAAATTAAAACAATCCAGTTTGTGTCATGAAGACTGTGGCCAGTTCTGAGACCTTGGAAGCTATCACATGAATGAGACCTTCCCTGGTTCCCAGATGATCCCATAATGGTGACAGGAAGGGCCAAAGCAGGCATAAATGTATCCAATATCCAACATCTGTATCCAATATCTTTCAAATTCAAGATAGCTTTAGTGCCTCCAAAATGCAGATGACAAGATTTGCAAAAAGAGGGTCACCTATAGTAAGGACAGGGTTCTCTACATATTTGGGGAACTGCCCAGGTATGCAGAAAAATATGACTTTGTGAAACACCTAGAGATGTAAAATTTCCGGAAATGTTGAAGCTCGGGAAAAAACCCGGGTTTTTTTCCAATTTTTTCCCGGGGGGAAACGTAAATTTTCAGAAAAATTGAAAAAAAATGCTACATTAGCATTTCTTTTGTCTTTTCTAGATTGAAAGTCATTCTGTTACTTTAGGAACATAAAATATGACTATGGACATTTTTACTTGGCATGAAATTATCACAACTAGCATATTAAAAATATAGTGTATCCAAACAGTTATTTCAAACAGAATTTTGAAATAATTCCCACATGCAAAAACAAAACTGAAACCTTTTTATTTTCTTCTGACAATAGCACCTCCTAAAGGAAGAAATGCATCTTGTTCTTGCATTGGAGAGTTCAGTTTGTAACCTAGGACTGGCTTGTCCTCAGTGCACAGAAATTACATCAATCTGATACCATATATATATATTTTAGAAATGATTTGGAAAATATTTGAACACCTTGTCTTAAAATATTTTATTAAAAAAAAATTAAAAACCCCCCCCCCCCCAAACCAGCCAGATGACAACTAAGCCTGCTCCAGAAGGGATGGAATGTTAAAGGAAAATGTTTGTGTGCTTGTGTGTGTATGTGTGAATAAATCAACCCGTTTAAAGAAGCCTAGAGAGGGGTTCGGGGGGGATTTCCAAATTCTCTCTCCCTTGGCATTCCTCCTGGACCCCAGATTGTACAGTATAATATATAAAATATATGTAAAGAATCAAACAATGAAATCCAGAAATAAACATTAACCCTAGACTTTATAATAACAAATTAGACCTCAAAATAAAATGAAAACATGGCTAAAACAAATTTGGAAAATAATCCCATAAAGTTGGATTCTTGTAAGGAGGAAGTTATCTTACTGCTTGAACTTGCCTTCAATATAGGGGCACATGTCACTTGTGCTTTAATTCACTTTCTTGCTGGGAAGATGTATGGCACACTGCATGTGAGGGTTCCCCCCCCCCCGGGACTTAAAATTGTCATACGGTTACCAAATCCCCCCCCTGGTTTGGCAGGGGTCTCCCACTTTTGGGGGGGGGTTCTACCCACCCGCTGGCCATCTGGCTGGCAGGGGAAGCCCAGCCTCCAAGCCTCAACACCTGCAGCCACCCCTCTCCCTTCTCTCTTGACAGAGAGGAGGGAGAGGGGTGGCTGAGGCCACACGCCCGATCTCTGCTTGGAGATCAGGCGGGCAGGGGCCTCTGACTCCCTGTACTTAAAGGGGCTCCCTTTAAGTGCAGGGAGCGGGGAAACACGAGCTCCCTGCACTTAAAGGGGCTCCATTTAAGTGCAGGGAGCTGGCATTTCCTTGTGTGCCCGATCTCCAAGCACAGATCGGGGGTGCCAGGCCTTCCGGCTCCCTTTAAGTGCAGGAAGCCGGCGGGAAAGGCCCCTGTGCACCTGAACTCCGAGCAGCATTGCCACTCAGAGATCTATTGGGCAGGGGGGCTGACATCTCCAATGTTACGTCATAACGTCGGGGATGCCCGGCCCCTTCCAGCAATGTCCCCGAAGTCCCCCACTGGGGGCGAAGATGGACCAGCGGGAAAGGGCTCGCACACCCGATCTCCAAGCAGAGATCAGGCACGTGGGGAAACACGAGCTCCCTGCACTTAAAGGGGCTCCATTTAAGTGCAGGGAGCTGGCATTTCCTTGTGTGCCCGATCTCCAAGCACAGATCGGGGGTGCCAGGCCTTCCGGCTCCCTTTAAGTGCAGGAAGCCGAGTATTTATGTATGTAATTAGTTGCCTGGTGGTCCCTGTATTCACTATTGCAGCATTCATGTTATTTAATACAGCATTCAGAAGTTATACAATTTGAATAGTACTGATGTAAATACAATTGTTAATGGTAAGCACTGCATATATTTGCCACTTTTATCTAACAATAAGCTTAAATGTGACCTTCTTTCTAACAGGTGGTATTTCTGCTTAGCTATGGCGCATCAATTGTCTTGTTGCTGTATATAGTTGCTTTCATATTTCGCAAAGCACAGTTTACAAGCAGTTTCTGGTCTTTCACCTTAATTTTGGTAAGTATATGGTCAGACCACTGATTTCTTTGGGATTTCTTTAGGTTCATTGTTTGTCCTACCCCAGGATCTGTAATTATTATATAGTACAGAAAAATAGACAAATATATGTCTCTATACATAAAGGAAGTATTTTTAAGTATGAAAACTGAAAAGATTGGTTCAGACATCCAGCTGAAAGCAGCTTGTGTATTAAGCCTATATTATGACAGCATACACTATGGGATACTAAATATATTGTTTGTGTAATGTATTGAGCTTGAGATCCATAACAAAAGCAGGCTAGGATCCTAGGAGTGCACCAGTAGGAATGCTTGGATCCTAATATAACCCAATAGGGTTACCTGGAAAGGTAACCTGGTGTAAATAGCCTATCACAGGGAGTGGGGTGTGTTTGGGATGTGACTTTCTTTGGGCATAAAACCTGGCTTCGGCCAGGGGTCTTTGTCTTTTGTCCTCACTGCTGAATCACTTAATAAACTATGAGCTGATCAGTCAATGTGTCTGAACCCAGTACATTTCACTGGCGATGAAGGTGGGATCCAGATGAGCAAGCCGGCTCCAACAAGTAACGCATCGTGCACCGAGTCATAGGACCCCGTGCACCGCACCACACAGGTGACGATGGCTGCCGTTCCTGGATCTTTCAATGCATTCGACGCCACCACAGAGAACTGGGAGTCCTACATGGGCCGGTTCAACTTCTTCCTAAAATCCTCCGGCATCCGGACAGCCAAGATGAAGCGCGCCACATTCTTTCGCATAAGTGGTCATCTGACATATGAGATTGCCCGCTCGTTCCTTGCTCCAGCAGAGCTCAAGGACACCGATTACCGGGTGATCATCGACTGACTCAAGGAACACTTCTCCCCAAAGCCATCGGTCATCACAGCCCGCCATGCATTTCACTCACGGAACCAGACCGCCACCGAATCCATATCGGAGTTCATCATGGCACTGTGCCACATTGCCCAGCACTGCAAATTCCCTGCCCTCAAGGATTCCCTACAGGACCAGCTGGTCTGTGGTCTCTGGGACGAGAGGATCCAATGAAAGATCCTCGGAAAGGCGGATCCTGTATAGAAATATTATTTCTAAATT